GGGTGGTCAATGTGCATGGTGGTTGCCTTTGAGAATCTCGGACCACTTAGACGACCTCTCAGAAATCTCGGATGCGGTGCGTGAAGCCCATGCCAAACAACGCCTATATAAAGGCACCAACCCCAATGGCATAGAGGGGGGGCAAGTAAACATATTATAGCTCTCATACTTTGTGATTTTTAGCTCGCAGTCTATTATGAGAGTACTGACTTAAGCATTGGAGCGACCTCGCCGGGTTAGCCACCCTGGGTCCTCTGACATTGATTCCTTGCAGGTCTCTAAAGAACTACGAAGCTCAACAATCAATCCAGCTCGGCCCCCCAGTCAGTTCGGCACCTAGCCTGCCCAGCTCGGCCTAGTTAGTTCGGCACCTAACCTGCCCAGCTTAGCCTAGTTAGTTCGACACCCAACTTGCCCAGCTCGGCCTGGTCAGCTCGACATCCAGGTCCTCATCCAACAAAAGTTCTCCACTTCGGCCTCTAAGTCATCGGCCATTTGGATGCAGACCAAATGACGAGGTACTTAGCCAAAAAATTGATTCATCAATTGGCGCCGTCTATAGGAAACGCTACAAAAAGCTAAGTTCTCATCTTTTGAAAGGCTAGGTCCTCTTCTTCCAGAAAGCTAAGTTCTCACATTTTAGAAACTAAAGCTCTCACTTTCTAATTTACATTTTTTATGAACTCAAAGACTAAGCAGGAAGTTGATGGCCAATAGACTAAGCAGCTCTGCCGACTTTATTTCAATTCGGATAAAGCCTCATCAGTCCTCTTCGGGAGGTACCCTCTTCAAGATGAGCTCTTCGTGGCTTCCGCGGGAGTTGGCAGCCAACAAAATGCATGGACACCCTTGCTGGTCGAGCCTTCAAGGGCTCTCGCGCGAGCTGGTGACCTAAAGTCAATAGTGTTGCCCCCGTAAGTCGAGCTCCTAGTAGCTTTTTGTAGGAGTGGGTGACCGGCGTCACTAACGAGGCTGATGCAGTGCAACTGCAATTCTAAAGTGCTAAACTGACAAAAGACCTTGGCACCACATAAGACCCAGTCACCTCTTCGGCATGGGCAAAATCAAGGGTAAGGAGAGTGGACTGCGAGTTGCTCCTAGAGCCTAAGGGCTAAGGTACCGAGCTAACAAAAGACCTCGGCGCCACATAAGACCCAGTCGCCTCTTTGGCATGGGAAAAATCAAGGGTAATGAGAGTGAACTGCGAGTCGCTCCCAGAGCCCAAGGCCGCAAACACTTGGACTCTTCCGACTTGAGAAGCAAATTGGATCGACGCTTACGAGCTCATCAAATTAGTCATTCCATGCCAAAAGGAGCAATCCACTCCCTTCGTCGAGTTACTTTCAGCTCAGGCGTGGGGGGCAATTGATGAGGGCGGATTTGGCCCTCCAATGACATTGTGACACATGGCATCTCAGAACAACTAGGTGACACTCGAAACCACTTAGGCAACTTAGCCAAGATGATGGTGTCCCGAACTGTCGACCTGGCACAGGCCCCGAACTGGCAACCTGGCAAAGGCGCCGACCTGGCGGCCTGGCACAGGCGCCGAACTGGAGACCTGGCACAGGAGCCGAACTGGCGGCCTGTCCCAAGCGCCGAACTGGCGGCCTGTCCCAAGCGCCGAACGGGCGACCTGCGAGATGTGCTCGCCGACAAATTCGACATGCATATCCCAACACTCCCACGATCCTTGGAAGTTGGCCCACGTACCGAACGATCCGGAGGGTGGTCAACGTGCATGGAGGTTGCCTCCGGGAATCTTGGACCACTTAGACAACCTCTCAGAAATCTCGGATGCGGTGCGTGAAGCCCATGCCAAACAATGCCTATATAAAGGCACCAACCCCAATGGCATTGGGGGGGGGGGGCAAGTAAACATATTCTAGCTCTCATACTTTGTGATTTTTAGCTCGCAATCTATTATGAGAGTACTGACTTAAGCATCGGAGCGACCTCGCCAGGTTAGCCACCCCGGGTCCTCTGACATTGATTCCTTGCAGGTCTCTAAAGAACTACAAAGCTCAACAATCAATCCAGCTCGGTCCCCAGTCAGTTCGGCACCTAACCTTCCCAGCTCGGCCCAGTCAGTTCAGCACCTAACCTGCCCAGCTTGGCTCAGTCAGCTCGGCACCTAATCTGCCCCCAACTCGGCCTAGTCAGCTCGGCATCCAGGTCCTCATCCAGCAAAAGTTCTCCACTTTGGCCTCTGAATCATCGGCCACTTGGAAATAGACCAAATGACGAGGTACTTAGCCAAAAAATTGATTCATCAGGATGTAGAGATCCAAGTTAGTACAACACGCGCACAAAAAAGAATGAAGAGATGAAATATGTATATATAGACAGAAAACGAAGAGCCGAGTCTGATCAAGATCAACGCACGCAATGAAAGGCCCAGGAATACCACCTTAAATAGACTAACCAAAAGGGGGAATCTAGATGCGACAAAGAAGGGGCATTGTATCTCATAAATCTATGAGATCACGGAGATTGCAGCAAGTAGGTTTCTGAGCAGTTGGTCTCTCTTTATCTCCTCACAGACGGTCAATACCTAGTTCTCATAAAATACAACAAGAACTTCAGTTTCTGCAGAGAGAAATAAAAAGCAGACAATGACTAGAGGGGGATTTAAGGAGACAATCTACAGTCTTTTTTGCTGGAATTCAAGAATAGCTCTGCTTTTTCACAAATAAATTTGGATTCAAGAAAGGATATTATTGCAAGGAGAAAAGTTTTAGCTCTATTTTTCACAAATAAATTTGGATTCAAGAAAGGATATTGCAAGGAGAAAATTTTTGAAAAAAAAATGGAATTTTATAGAAGAATGCTGTGAGGTAAACGTTTACAAAGAATGGTAAGGGCTAAGGACCAAGGGAAGAAGAGCCGATTGTCCAGAAATATATATACATGGAGGTCAAAGTTTACAGGAAATTTTTTCTAGACATAAAACAAAAATACAATCTACATCAGTCAGAACTCAAAAGAAGCTTGGAAGAAATTCCCGGATGTGGTGGTGGCCAAAGCTGACAATGCCCCTTCTGTGTTGCTGCTGCTGTTCTTGTATCGCAAGGTCAGAGAAGATGAACAATTCTTTTCTCCCAATTGTTTGAATATTTATTATAAGGGTAGTATGGGGATTAAAATGGTAAATTTCAACGGAAAACTAACGGAAGGGGGTCATTGTCTCACGATCATAGTACAGGGGGTCTTTGTCGCAAAACAAAGTACAGGAGGGGTCTTTGTCACAGACTCCATAGTGTGGGGGGTGTTTGTAATTTACCCTTATAGTAATTTTAATATTATTTAGTTATTTCAGTAATTATATTTGATTAATATTTTTCACTAAGTATGATATTTTTTGTAATTATTTTGAATTTTCGGAATTATAATATTATCAGTAATTAAATAATTACTGAAAATAATATTATCAGAATTATAATATTATTTAGTTATCAGTATTACCAAAATAATTAGAGAAAATTATTGAACAAATATTGAGAATTAAATAAAATACTGAAAATATTAAAAAAACTAAAAATAATTTTTTATTAACTAATTCAAAATAATTACTGAAAATTCAAAACCACTGAAAATAATTATTACAAAATCAGTATTAATTGTAGTTTCACAATTATTGTAATTATTGCATTTGTTATTAGTTATTTATTGTGTTTTTTATAAACTTATTTCAATAATTATGTATTTTTCTATTAATTTTCTATAATTATTGAAGATTAAATTATTGTTATTTATTAGAGATTAGGCTATTAATTTATCTAAAATTAATTATTTTTATTTTTATATTATAAAAATTATAAAAAGTAATATATATATATATATATATATATATATATATATATATAATGTATATAATTATTAATTATTTAAAAAGTTAAAATATAAAAAAGTCATCTACTCTTATGTGTTTTTATTGTATCATTTTCACTTAATAAAACTCGTGCATCACATAGATCCCCACTACTTAAATTATAATATAAGACATTATTCAAATATAATATTATATATTATGCTTTTATTTATACCATATTATAAGAAGTATAATTAATTAAATAAAATTTTAAAATATAATGCAATCTATATATAATTGTATATTTTGGTAGTTATATTGTAAAATATTGTACATACAAAGGGGTAAAATTATAATCTAATTGTTATAATATAATATTGCAAGACTTTTCATGGCCCCATCCACTATTAACAATTTAAAAGTAAATAATTTTTTTTAATTTAATGGAGGATATTGTTTATTTTGAAGTTGATGTGTTGGGTGATCATTTTCAGCAAAGCTCGGAAATTCCAACCTTGGGCTCAAATTTTGTGTTCAAGCCCACATCAGGCCTATGAATTTCTGAACCGGGTTTCGACCTAACAATGACTTGGCCCAGCCCAAACCTGTACAGACACAGGTCCAGACTTAAATTTCAGGCCCGGGATGGATTAGGCCAGACGAAGGCCTGGGTTATAATTTATAAACCCTTATCATTGGTATTAAGCCGGAAATGGACATGGGCCAGCCTGATCCAAAATCACCCCAGACCCCAGTGGTTGAAAGTCGAAACATGAAACAGAGGAGAGTCCTAAACCGTTATAATTTGGAGAATGCCTTTCCCCATAAACGGTTTACACATATATATAGCCGTTTGAATGTACGCTTAATTTGTAAGTTAGAGAGTCCTAAACAATGTAAGAAGTTTCCAAATTCCGCTTTCCTTTCCGAAATACAAGTGAAGATACGCGAAATTTGTAATTTAGAGAGTCCTAAACAATGTAAGAAGCTTCCAAATTCAGCTTTCCTTTCCGAAATATAAATGGAGTTCCATTTCTAAAATGGAGACTTCCATAGTTCTATTTATAACTCAGAATTGAAGATCGATATCTTCATTCTACATTTGCGGTAGATATTTGGGTTTGTTTGGTTTGGGAAACTGTTTGTAGTGGTAGTTTGTTAGTCTGTGATCTTGCGGGTTGAGTCGATCATGGCTGCGTCGGAAGCTAGCTTGGTCGATTTCTGGAGGAAGTTCTTTCAGGGTGCACACAGAGATATTTTCACTGTTATCGAGAAGGCAATCACGGTTGCCTCTTTGGATCGTCCAGATGAGTTCAAGAGAAACAAGTTAAGAATCATAGAGGCACTCTTCTCGTATGGAATGAAGAATGGCAGCAGCGGTAGGTGCATCGGGTCTGATAGCATGCAGTCTGAAGTGGTAGCAGAGCGAGATTGTAATGAAAAGAAGATCATAGAAAGCAACGTAAGTTGTAGTACCAACAATGGCAGCAACGATCAAACAGAAGAAGTGGTTAAACCGAAGAAGATCGAAGGAGATGACAAGACAGATGAGATTGCAGAAGTTTTGAGGATCAAAGTGGCTGTTAATTACAATGGTCACCCGGATGAGAAGTCACTGTTGGAGACGCTAGGAAGACTTCAAGGAATGGAGTTATCTTTCCAGACTCTCAAGGCAACGGAGATTGGAACGGCTGTGAATGAAATCAGGAAGCAGACCAAATCCAAGAAAGTACGTAAAGTGGCACGGGCTATCATCGAAAGGTGGAGAGCAACAGTTGATCAATGGCTGGAGAAAGAGAACAAAGCTTTATCGTCAGTTTCTACCCAGGCTACTATGTCTTCAATTGAATTTGAGGCTACTCAAAGCGATGAACGTACAAAGATGCAGCAGGGACCGACGATTACTACTTACACTGTCTGTGAGAAAAGTGAAACCACCAAGAGAAACCTTCAGGATGCATACCAACGATCTGAGAATGCCAAGAAGCAGCGCTGCATAAAGTTTTTGGAGTTGCAGAAACTTCCCAAGAAGCCCCTGCCTCGTGGGGCCATATAGTTTGTTATTTCTTCATTTTTACTCTTGTAAATAAAACAGAGTTGAAGAACATGTTTTTGTCAAACACCTTGCAAAATTTATGCAGATAATTCTTTTATCACACTCTAACTTTTGTCATCTCCTTATCTTTGGCTTGAATTGGTTTTAATTTTAACCTTCTTTTTTGGAAATTGAATCATTTAGTCCAATAACTAATTGTACTCTTTTACATGCCCATATGTATATATAGAGAAGTCAAGTTGGCTTATCAATTGAGTGAGATGGCTAAGTTGTACAGTTGTTGCTTGTCAAACTTGGAACTGATGATAAGTTGAATTGTGTAGTTCTCTTCATGCAACATTAAGATACTCTGCCATAGTTGTGTAAGAACTCCACTTTTCAGGGGAATTGTAATTTTTTGGTAATAGTTCAGCTTAATCTCAGTGGTGAATCAGGGTCATTTCTTGAACTTCAAAGAGTGACCATTTCTCTTGAAACTTTTTTCCCAGTAGTTCGAATTAACTTTTCAGTTTGCCGTTATAGAAGAGGTGCAAATTAACTAGGCTTTTCCTCCCCCTCGCCTCTTCCTCTTCCCACCCTCTCTGTCTCTCTCCTTTCTCAGTCGTCTCTTTCTATCTCTCAGTTTCAGTCACTCTTCAATCGATCTTATCTGTCACTCCAGCAGGGCTACCAATTTTAAGTCTCTGCCTAGGTCATAGAGAATATGCAACACTGGGAGTCCAGCGGGGATATCAATTGCTCAGTCAGATTGTATTACTGGGAAGCAACAGTTAAAAGGCAAAGCTCTATTACTGAGAAAGGTGAAATCAGTACTGGGGTAAGAAGGGTGAAATCAGTACTGGGGTAATAGAGGGCTGCTCTTTCAATCTCTAGAACACATTTTTATATCCAGAATTTATTGTTAGCGGACTTTACTTTCTGCAATTTCTTGTCTACAGTTAGGGATTTCGAATGTGATTGAGGCCATGGAGCTGGCTCTAGAACTTGTGTATCCTCTATGTGGTTGCTTGGTCAGATAGGTAAATGTTTTCTTTTGTTGCTGATTTGTTCAAGTCAAGAGGCAATAGTTAAGAGAGGTGAGGATCTTGTAAGAAAGAAGGCTTCTGGTGCAAATTTAGATGATCCACAGCTTATAATCAGGATTGTTTTGCTATTTAATGTTATCTGATTCCATCTTCTAGTTTATAACTATCTCTGTTACTTTCCTGAATATCAATGGTTCATGAAGTTACATCCTCTACCTTCTAGCTGGACAGGGGAACAGGGTGAACCACTTTGAAAAACAGCATAAGCTAATGTTGATTACAAAGAAGAAAACAAAACCAAAATAACCCTCAAACATATATATGAAAGAAACAGTGAAAACAATGGGAGAACAAGTTTGTACCTTGTAACCATAATGTACTGGAGTTCTACCGATTGCTTGGTATAAATAGGTTGGGGGAGATCCAAGAGAAACTGATTGCAAGGTACTTAGCAGGTTGAGGATCTCCAATCATGATGTCTTGTGGATGAAAAATTCTGCCTCTGTTTCAGAAGTCAAAGTAAAAGCTCAATCAGTAGAAAAGATGTAGAAACAGATAATGCAGAATTTGGTTCTAATTTGATGAACATACAGCTGCTTTATGCTCCAATTAATGGTTACAATGAACATTGAGGCATAATATCTTTTTCACCAAGTACACTACTGATGCTGGTTTTTGTGCCAGACTTATTATAGATCCAGGCAGTTGAGTGATTCAGAACTTGTTAGCAAGGATCAGATTATGGATCTTGTTTTGTTTCTGTGTGAAGTAGCATATAGATGGTTGTCGTGTTAGTAACTTTTTGAGAAAAGGTAAAGTATAATTGTATTGATGTAAGTAAAAGGTTCCTTCACCATTGTACGAAGAGAGTCTGTAATGGTATGTGAAGAGGACCTCAAAAAAGGTCCACTTTCAAAAAATAACCTTCCAGAGTATCATCTTTGAAAACTTGAGATACAGAAACAAAATAGACTCTACCTTAGCAGCTGCAGTTGTTTTATTATTGCACTGGTTGGCAATCCAGGAGATGATGTATATTTGTATATGTTGCTAATGATTTATTCTTGCTTGAACCTCAAAGTTCTTACATCTCATGTTTTACCCTTTTTTCCATTAATACATGTATATACATCTCATGTGTAATTGTTTCCTGATTCTCTCTCTTGGTATTCCTTCAATTTTCTTTGCTTTACTCCTGCTTATTTTTTTGATAAGTAAAAAGATTTATTAATATAATTCAAAAGTTGCATATGGTACAAGCATCCCTTAGAAAGAGGCATGAGATGCAACCTCTTCTAAAATATAAAAAAAAGTGCAGATTACAACTGAGCCCAAAATAAGTGTTCCCTTGAGACCCCTTTCTTAGATAATATATCAGCCAATGCATTAGCTGACCTCCCAACCCAATGAATGCTCACAGTCATATTCTTTGTCAACCATTTGTATTTCTTAATTGTATCACTAGCACCAAGATACATACAGACTCCAGATCCTTCAGATGTACTACTTATTTTAAAACATCTTGATTTTAGAGCATCTCTCTATGTTTCTAATTTTGCATTCAATCCTAGACTTGCCAATCAAATGATCAATACTATGTCATCAGCAAAAACCATACATCATTGAATACCCTCCTATACATGCTTTGTCAGTTCATCCCTGACTATTACAAACAAATACAGGGTAAGGGTTGATACTTGGTCAAGGCCCATGGTACAATGACAGTTAAGCACCATATTCATATCCTCAGGTTAATTTATCCATTTTGGGCACCTGTCTATTTCAAAATGGATCATATTATCTCCCTAGAGAGCTATAAATCATAACCCCTTTTATTGCTGTTAATTGCCAGAAAGAAATTCATTCATGACTAGCATTGTTTTGTTGGAATTTACATGGCATACACCAAATATACATTACATGGTTAATTGCCAGGAAGACATTTTTTCCTGGATGCCATTATTCTCCCTAATTTACATTACAAAGCACCATAGAAAGATGCGTACTAATTTATTCTTATGTTTTTTTTTATAATCCCACATTTTAATCTATGGTTTCTGGACCATACTTGCAATGGGTGGCTGGGTGCAACCCATGACAGTGTATTTTTTTTCCTAAATATACATACCTCTTGTGGTCTATTTACTGCAGGCAGTATTGGATCAACTGAAGCTTATGGTCCCTGTTATACTGAACGGTATTTTGAGGTCACTTGATGGTTCAAGTGCAGAATCAGGTCCAAATTATTTTAAGCAGTTAATCTAACATAGCATTTGATTTTTTTTTTTGAGAGAGAGAGTGAGAAGATAAAGTATAGTATCATTGAGTGAAAGCCAAAAGGCATGTACAACAAGTTGCTGCACCCAGGGATTATACAGTAGCTGCCCATGCAGCCCTATACCCAAACCTTTTTCCCTCTTCTTTTTTCAGCCAAAAGTTTGCAAGTTTGTAGATTTTAGAAAAAAAAGGATGATAATGTGGAGGGAGAGCAGAGATTGCAAGGAAAAAGAGACCATGGAAGAAGGATAATTCCAAAAGACTGCTATAACCTGAATCTCAAAAAACATAAACTGATTTTTTTTTTTTGAAAAGTGGTCAAAATGGTTGTATTTAAATAGGTATAAGAGAGCGAGTAGCATATACAAAGGTGTCTATATGTGCACAAGAGCATATAAGCTGAAAATTATTCATTAGGGACTTAGCAGCATTTGTAGGATTCTCACAAATACTGAATTTATATTCTCTTGTGAGAAAGTAGGTAGATGTGTTTAGAAGAGAAGTGCTTTCATCAATATTTGACATTGCCAACAGTTTTACAACCATCCTACAATACTATGTTTTCAATATTTTATCTTTACATTTATTAAATTGAATGGTCTGTTATCACTTGTCTCATTAACTAGGGTATTACCCCTGGTGATCCCTATCATTTTTATGGTGCAACCCCCTCATGTTGGATCATTACAGAACTGTGAGGAGATGATTGTCAACTTTTTGTTGTTAATCCAGTTTGAAGTTACTTTTTTTACATGTATCTCTCAGAAATCAAGTCTTCTTTACCTTCATTGAAGTGGGACTATATTAGCTAGCTAAGGGCACTGAACCTGAGACTGGCAGGGCACAGCTGGGAAGGTTGATGCCTTTGTTCCTGGAATAGGGACTGGGGGTACAATAACAAGGACGGAAATTTCTCAACAAGCAAAACCCTGAGATTAAGGTTAGTATTTCAGTTAATTTTGAATGAATTTTCTGAAAACAGATCATATCTAATGAAATTGCTTACCTGTTTATTTTTCTCTGAGCAAACATGTTTACTTCCTTTTTGTGAAATGTATTTTTGTTCCTTTTTAGATTTATGTGTAGAATGAACCAGCTGAAAGTGTGGTTCTTTCTGGAGGCAAGCCTGGTAAGTTATCTATTTATTCTTTTTGTCTTGTGAGAATATTGCCTCTTCAGGTTTGGAGGTTTTATGATGTGCTAATTAGTAGTTTTTTCTTGGAGCTCACAACTTTCTATCTTGACAAGCCTGCCCCATATATTTTGGAACCTGTCGCTGGATTATTGCCACAGCTACTATTTGCTTCATTAAAAATTAAAAATCATGATTTTGTTTTTTTCTCTTTCATGTATGTCCTAAAGAATATTTTAAAGTATTAACAGTTCCCATTATTGATACTTTTATATGTCTTAGGCAATTTTTTTAAAACGCAGAGGCATGATGCGAGGTGTTCCACTACCTAGAGGTGCAAGGCGTAGTTTAGAACGTAAGAGGCATAAGCCTTCTTAAGTGGAGGAGGGCCAAGAGGAAGAAAGAAGAGGAAGGGGGATCTTATTTTTTCTTTATTTTTAATAAAAATCTTTTATATTAAGAAGAATAAAGATGCATAGCACTAGTTGAAAGGGGGGGGGGAGTCTTATAAGCCCTTGTAGAGAGAGATATCTTCCCATGCTCTTTTAAGCGAGGTTTTCGCTGTC